CTGGCAGTGTCACCATGCCCAGGTCTGGCAGTGTCACCATGCCCAGGTCCTGGCAGTGTCACCATGCCCAGGTCTGGCAGTGTCACCATGCCCAGCTCCCGGCAGTGTCACCATGACCAGCTCTTGGCAGTGTCACCGCAGCATCCCAGGCCGTGTTGCCCCGGTAACAGCCGCTCATCACCGGGAGCCAGCCCTGAACCAGTTCAGGAAAAGGCCCCAAACCAAAGGGACAAAGCCGGGAGTGGCTCCGGGGCTGGGCAGCTCCAGGACCCCGGTCCCGAATTTCTGAGGAGCTGGAAGGGCTTTAAACGTGTCTGGAATGTGAATGCAGGGACAGGGACAGCAGAGCTGGGGACAGCAGAGCCAGGCTGGCAGAGCTGGGGGTGCTCACCTGGAGAGGAGAAGGATCCAGGGAGAGCTCAGAGCCCCTGGCAGGGCCTGGAGAGGGACTGGGGACAAGGCCTGGAGGGACAGGACACAGGGAATGGCTGCCAGTGCCCCAGGGCAGGGCTGGATGGGATCTTGGGCAGGAATTGTTCCCTGGCAGGGTGGGCAGGGCTGGCACAGGGTGCCCAGAGCAGCTGTGGCTGCCCCTGGATCCCTGGCAGTGCCCAAGGCCAGGCTGGACATTCCTGGCACACTGGGAGGTGTCCCTGCCATGGCAGGGGTGGGATGGGAGGGGATTTGGGGTCCCTTCCCCCCAGACCATCCCGGGATTCTCTTGCAGAGGTCCCTAAGCCCAGCCAGGGCACCACACACTGGGTACAAACCGAGGCATTTTTTGGGAGCACAGATGCAATGGCCCCATGCCCGTCCCACCCTGTGCCCCCTGTCCTTGCCCTGCCCAGCCCCAGGATGAGCCCAGAGGCTCCCTGGGCAAGTGGCCACTGGCCAGGTTTGCCCTGGGCCCTGCAGGATTTGTCTGGGATTTGCTGTGGGATGCAGTGGAGTCGAAGCCGTGGGCATCTGCTTTCTGCAATAAGTCGAATTATTTGAATATATCTAAAATATACAAGTGTAAAAAAAAAAATTAAAATACATAAAATAGCTATATTTATGTGTTTTTATATATTTCAGATAAAATATCTATATATGTATGTAATACATTAGATATCTACATATGTAATATATGCATATATGAACATATATAAATATATATGTTATATATAAATTTATATATAAATATACATATATAAAAATAAAAAAGTATTTAATATAAATCTATGAATATAAATATAGCATATAAATGTATGTGTAATATATAAATATATACATATTATATAAAATATATAGCATATATTATATATTTATATATGAATATATTCATATATTCATGTATGAATATATACATGTGTAATATACAAATATATAAATGTTTGCATGAAACATACAAAGCATGTGATTTTATTAAAAATTTCCAAATAGACACAAATAGATAAAAATAGATAAAACTAGATAAAAATGTAAAAGTAAATTACTGCAGTTGGGCTGTGCCCGTGGTGCCAGCTCGTGCATCACCTCCCTGCTGGGCATGGAGTGCTCTGGGGGAGGAGACCCTGTCCGTGTGTCTGTCTGTCCCTGTGTCTGTCTGTCTCTGTGTCTGTCTGTCTCTGTGTCTGTCTGTCTATCTGTCCCTGTGTCTGTCTGTCCCTGTGTCTGTCTGTCCCTGTGTCTGTCTGTCCCTGTGTCTGTCTGTCGGGGTGTGTCAGTGTCTGTCTGTGTGTCTGTGTGTCTGTGTGTCTGTGTGTCAGTCTGTCCGTGTGTCTGTCTGTCCCTGTGTCTGTCTGTCTCTGTCTGTCTGTCTGTCTGTCCCTGTGTCTGTCTGTCTGTCTGTGTGTCTGTCTGTGTGTCTGTGTGTCTGTCTGTGTGTCTGTCTGTGTGTCCGTGTGTCTGTGTGTCTGTCTGTGTGTCTGTGTGTCTGTCTGTGTGTCTGTGTGTCTGTGTGTCTGTCTGTGTGTCTGTGTGTCTGTGTGTCTGTGTGTCTGTGTGTCCGTCTCTCGCGGCCCTCTGGCAGTGTCCCGTGTTCCCTGCAGGCCGTGTCTGTGTGTCTGTCTGTCTGTGTGTCCGTGTGTCTGTGTGTCTGTGTGTCTGTCTGTGTGTCCGTGTGTCCGTCTCTCGGGCCCTCTGGCAGTGTCCCATGTTCCCTGCAGGCCGTGTCTGTGTGTCTGTCTGTGTGTCTATGTGTCTGTGTGTCTGTGTGTCAGTCTGTCTGTGTGTCCGTGTGTCCGTCTCTCGGGCCCTCTGGCAGTGTCCCGTGTTCCCTGCAGGCCGTGTCTGTGTGTCTGTGTGTCTGTGTGTCCGTGTGTCCGTGTGTCTGTGTGTCCGTGTGTCCGTCTCTCGGGCCCTCTGGCAGTGTCCCGTGTTCCCTGCAGGCTCAGGCCGCGGGCTCGGCCCAGCCCTCGCCCACCCATGGCCGCCCCCCGGCCGTGCCCTCACGCTCGGCCTCTGCCGGCTCCACTCCCACACACGGCGCCCACGACGGCCCGGCCGGGCTCGGGGCAGACGGGCACGAGGCCTTCACGGCAGGTGAGCACCGGGGCCGGGCACCACGGCATGGACACGGGGCAATGGCAGCAGTTGTCCCCTGGCGGGGCTGGGTGGGATCTTGGGCAGGAATTGTTCCCTGGCAGGGTGGGCAGGGCTGGCACAGGGTGCCCAGAGCAGCTGTGGCTGCCCCTGGATCCCTGGCAGTGCCCAAGGCCAGGCTGGACTTTGGGACAATGGGAGGTGTCCCTGATGGTTTTGGAGCTCGATGTTTTTTAGGGTCCTTCCCACCCAGTCCATTCCCTGATCCCAGTACAACACACACATAACTCACCATATCAAAGCAATCACTACAAACCCCTCTCCTCTACCCTGGACCAAATTTGGGGGCACATTTTGAATCTTTTGAACTTATTGAAGTTAATTTGTGTGAAGATGATCTTCCCTGAAGGGAAGTTACGCCCACAAATCATTTAAGAATAAAACCTTCCAAATCTGTCTTGTTTACAAACGTGGTGGTTGAACTGCAAGAAAAACCACGAGGGGTTTCAACGCTCTTTTCTGCATCTTGGTCCAGAGCTTTTCACATTTAGTGCTCCAGGAGAATCCTGGAATGTGGAGCTGGGAGCAAAAGAGCAGCAGGGCCTGGTCTTGGCAGTCTCTGGCAGACATGGAGGTTCTTTCTGGGCACCTTCCAAGCTGCACATCCACCTTGATGTTCTTCTCTGCCAGTGACAGAAGGACAGAAAACCCTCCTGTCCCCAAGGCACAGCTGAGGACTGACCTGTGTGTGGGCCAAGGGATGGACAGCACTCCACAAAGGTTGGACTGGATGGTCTCGGAGGCCTTTTCCAAGTTCAGTATTTCTGTGATTATCCCTGTGGACCTCGTGGTGCTCGTGGAGATCCCAGGCAGTGAACAAGAGCCCCCAGCTGCTGCAGGGGAGGTTTGTTCTTTAAAAGCTGGCATAGAGTAGAAGCATCAAATCCCTTTGTCACATGGACAGGTTCCTTCTCCAGACAAACCAAAGATGGAAAGAAACCCCTGAGAACCAAACCAAGCAGGTTTTGGGTATTTATCAGCGCTCAGTGGATGTATCCTTCTGGAATGATCTTTGCCCTTGCCCTGCCAGAAGGAGGTGAGGGAAGAGGCTGGGAAATGGCAGCAGAGGAGCAGGAGTGCCAGTGAACACTGAGCTGGTGTTTGGTGCTGCAGCAGGACCAGGAGCCCTTGGCACTGGGAATGCTGTGGGATGATGCCTGCAGCTCCTCTGGGAGAAGGGGGTGTGCTCGGCCCATGCCATGGGTAGGAGCAGGCTCCTCATGGCTGCCAGGAGAGCAGAGCAGAGCAGAGCAGGCATTTCCAGCGAGGCACGGTGCCAAATTCCAGAGGCGAGCTCTCCATCTGTTCCCGTGGGTGGTCCACTCGCCTCCTCTTCATCTCCACAGCGAGTTCGGGGGTGCAGCCCAGAGCTCTGCGCTGATTTCCCTGGCAGCTGCCTCTGCTTCCCCCCTGCAGGATCCCTTTCTTTGCTCAGGAGTGGGACAGCAGCACCCCGAGCCCAGCCAGGCCCTGGGAGGAGCCACAGGATCCATTTCGTTGCTCCCCCTTCCCTTTGCCCGTGAGGAGCACCAAGACAGGGAATGGTCTCCCTGTGCTTGGAGCACGTGGTTGTGGCAGGACATGAAGGTGCTGGACCTTTATTCATTTCCCAGCCTTTCCTGGCATCCAGGTTTGCTCCGTGTCCATCTGCCTTTTCCTGGGGAGATGCAGCAGCCATGGCAAGGCAGATCCCTGCCTCAGTCACTGCAGCGTCTTCTCGAGCTCCTGCTCGGGCTGGTGGAGTCAGTCAAGGGCTCCTTGAGCCTCTCCTTCCTCAGGACCTGCTGGGACAGCCCACAGTGAAAACTTGTGTTTTCCCAGGTTTTTAACACCTGACAGCATCTCGGATACCTGTTACAAGGAGCCAGGTGTTGCAGAAAACCGCTCAGGGCTGGCTGGAGGGGACCAGAACAAAGCCATGGACACCCCTCAGGGCACTGATCCTACTTCAACAAAAACATCTCAACTGTTCATGCCAACTTCAAGATGTGATGGTCCCACCCTGCTGTGGGGAGCCCAGGGAGGGCAGGGACACCAAGGGCTCGTTTTGCCTCCAGGGCATGAGTCCTCCACGAGCTGCCCCAGGAGTGGGGAAATTGTGGAGCAGGAAAGCCTTGAAGAACTGAATCCCAGAGATCTTGGTCTTACAGCCTTGAGATTAGCAAAGTTTCCTCCTTAGGTGATCTCTTGATCTTCCACTCAGTAGGGGATTTCCAAGATTGGCACTTGGATGATGACCGAGTATGACAGGTTTAGAATAAAACACCCTGACGCTTTCTGGGTGAAACACTCGGGCACAGAGGCACCATCTGATTAGAAAATCAATTCTGCTGTTGATGAGAAGAGAAGAGAAGAGAGAAGAGAAGAGAAGAGAAGAGAAGAGAAGAGAAGAGAAGAGAAGAGAAGAGAAGAGAAGAGAAGAGAAGAGAAGAGAAGAGAAGAGNAGAGAAGAGAAGAGAAGAGAAGAGAAGAGAAGAGAAGAGAAGAGAAGAGAAGAGAAGAGAAGAGAAGAGAAGAGAAGAGAAGAGTCCCTCAGGAATCCTCAGATCCACCACTGCCAACAAGGGGGAATGTTCCTCTCGTGTTCCCCACAGTGGGGCTAATTTAATGACCAGAAAAACTCCAGCAAGAAAAAACCGTGGTGACCAGACTCTGTAATGATTTTCCTGGAATGATCCTTCCGGAAAGGCAATCTGCACAATTAGTGCTATTTCATATTAATCACACAAAATCAGGCAAAGCTGAGGCCAGTGGAGAACACAGGAAACAGAATAAAATGTCGATTTTTTCACTTAATAAAATAATTGAGTGTCCCAGGCAGGAGATGTCTGGGTGGGCTTGGTGACATTATCCAGCTGTTTCACAGTGGGGACACTGCCCCAGGTTGCTCCAAGCCCTGTCCAGCCTGGCCTTGAGCCCTTCCAGGGATGGGGCACATCCATGATCCATGAGCATCATGGTCCTCAGGAGGCCACAAGCATTGTCCTGCACACAGGACAGTCCTGGGGGATGATCCCTGTGCCAGCTGTGCCAGCTGTGTCCCCTGGCTCTTCTGGGATGGGGCCCTGGTGCTCACTGGTGCTCACTGGTGGTGCTGCCCAGTGTCCAGGCAGGTCGGTGTCCCCAGGGACAGCACAGGGCACCCTGAGGAAGAGGAGGGATTCCTTCCTCCAGCCCTGCAGCAGGGTGAGAATTCCAGCAGCCCTGATCCCATCCAACCCCAGCAAGGCTGAGAGGGGGGGGGCTCTGCCCACGGGGGGAGCGGGCAGTGGGGGCTGGCACTGTCCTGGTGCTGCCATGTCACACAGGTGACTGTCACTGCCCTGTCACACAGATGACTGGCACTGTCACTGTCCTGGTGGTGCCCTGTCACACAGGTGACTGTCACTGGCACTGCCCTGTCACACAGGTGACTGGCACTGTCCTGGTGGTGCCCTGTCACACAGGTGACTGTCAGTGCCCTGGCCCTGCCGTGTCACACAGGTGACTGTCAGTGCCCTGGCCCTGCCGTGTCGCAGGGGCCGTGGGGACAGCGGGACGTGCTGGGCAGTGGCAGTGGCAGTGACCCCGTTGCTGATCGCTGTGTCTGCCCCGCCCAGGTACGAGGAGGAACCTCCGCAATGACCTGCTGGTGGCAGCGGATTCCATCACCAACACCGTGACCTCGCTGGTGAAGGAGCTGCACTCGGGTGAGAGCCGGGGCAGGGCAGGGGAGGAGGAGAACTGGCAGCCACAGGTTGAGGATTTGTCCTGAGATTTATTTTTTGTTAGAACTAAAGTGTAATGTGAGGTTATGTGTCCACGTTGCCAATGAGTAACCATCTCTGGCCTGGGCAATGCTGGGGGATGATCTTAATGGCACAGTCACAAACCAGAGCAGGTTTTTGTGAGTCCCCAAATTCCTGCTTAGTCCTGGGCAGCAGGTGAGGGCCTGTGCCCTGGCTCTCCATCAGATGATGCAATCACATATCAAGAACTGTACAGGAGGCCAATTTCATCCCTTGTTGTTAACAGTGATGTGGAAAACAGATAATTAATTACTCCCTCTGTGCCTCTTCCCCGTGCCAGGGGAGCTGAACACCCCACTGGGGCTGCAGCAGGTCCTGCCTCACCCAGGGAGTGTCCATGGCCCTTGTCAGCACCAGGGCTGGGGCCGTTCAGTGCTTCCAGGAGGGATTTCCCCATGGAAAGGGCTGTCAGGCATTGGAAGGGCTCTCCAGGGTGGAATTCCCATCCCGGGGGTGTCCAAGGAAAGACTGAACTCAGTGCTCTGGGCTGGTGACAAAGAGGGCACCAGTCCCAGGGTGACTCTTTGCCCTTTTGCAAGGTGAAGGATCCTGTGATTCTGTTCCTGGGCTGCCCTTGCAGCTGAGGAGGAAGGGAAGTGTCCTGGGCCTGTTCCTGCTCCCTGTTCCCTGCTGGGCCCAAAATTCCCCATAAATGCCTGTCCCACGAGGCTCTGCCCTAGGGGAGCCTCCCAGGGATGAACAGGGTGGGTGTTTTACAGCCCAGCAGTAAATCCCCCACTCCCAGCCCCTGTCCTGGCAGCAGAGGAGCTGGGAGTTAATAAAGTTGTCGGTGGATGACACAGGGCCATGGCAGGGCTGCCAGCTCCCCCATAAATCACCTCAGCTCTGCCCCTGAGGCTCAAACACGGAGAACAAACCTCTGCCCAGAGTCTGCACTCGTTCATTTTTGCTTTCCAGAGCGGGGCAAGTGTTGTAGAATCATGGAATTGTGGAATAACCCGAGTCAGACCCACAGGGATCATGGAGTCCCGCTCCCATCCCTGCCCAGGACAGCCCAACAATCCCAGCCTGTGCCTGAGGGCACTGTCCCAACCTGTCCCTGATCTCCATCCCCAAATCCCCTGGCACAGCTCCCGGCCAGGAGCAGGTTCCCTGGTGGAGCTCAGGGATGTGCAAAGCTGTGTGCATCACCAGGAGAGAGACTGGAATGAAAATGGAGCTGCTGACAGGCTCCTGCTCCAGGAGATGCAGACACCAAGGAAAGCTCCCCTGGAAATGCCTGCAATGGTGTCATTTGTGTAAATTAGGAAAAGCATGAGTTATCCTCAGCTGATGGGAGCCAGCAGCTTTTCACACATCGTGTCCCAAGCTGTGGGAACAGACACCTCCTGCAGCCACGGGAGGGGTGTGGGGAGGGGCTGCGACCCCCCTGGAGGGTGGGAGTCTGGTTCTGCCCCTGCCCTGCCCCTGCCCCGGCCTGCAGAGAGGATTCCCTGGGAAGGGAAACAGGGAGCAGCACCACCCCATCCTCCCGGGGTGCTCCACGGCCCCTTCCACCCTCCCCTGCTCTGAGGTCAGGGAGGGTTGGCTGGGATCAGGGAAAGGCTCTTTCCCCACCCAGAGGGTGCTGGGCACTGCCCAGGGAATGGGCACAGCCCCAGAGCTCCGGGGGAGTTTGGATAACCCTGCCAGGGATGGACAGGGGGGATTGTTGGGGTGTCCACTGGAGTGAGGGTCCCTGAGGGTCCCTTTCCTGCCCCAGGGGTGCTCAGGGGGGATTGTTGGGGGTCTGTGCAGGGCCAGGGTGATCCTGGTGGGTCCTTCCAACCCAGGGTATTCCATAATTCCATGATGGAGTCGTGGAGTCACAGAATCAGAGAATCACAAAATCACTGAGGTTGGAAAAGATCTCCACGACCACTGAGTCCAACCCTTCCCCCAGCACTGCCAGGGCCAGCACTGCCCCTGTCCCAGGTGCCACCTCCACACCATGCTCTATGTCCCAGTGCTGCTGGGGGAACCCTGCTCCCATTTTTGCTCCATCTGAGCTCAGGAGGATGGGATTGAGGAGGGTGCTGCTCTGCAGGGAGCCGAGGCAGTGCTGAGCTCCAGGTCCCAGCTCTGGTTCTCCCAAAGCTGCCTGGGTTTGTCCCTGATCCCCTCAGCTCTCACTGCACGGACCCTCTGGAGCTGTGTGACCCCCACGTGTCGCTGTCCTGCTCTCAAAGCCACACACGGGACATTCTGTGAGGTCCCCTCTGACCAGGCCCACCCCAAACACCTCTGGCTCTGCAGCTGTGCCTTTCCCTGGGGGGTTTGTCCCTGCCTTTGCTGCCACGCCTGGTACAGGAGGCAGGGCAGGAGTGACACCCCCTCAGGGTGACCATCAGCTGTTTGCACAGGGCTCAGGGGAGCGTTGGGGTGAGATAAGAGCCACCACCTGCAGGAGAATGTGACCTTCTGCTCCCACCCTGCTGTGCAAATACCCTGCCATAAACTCACCTGGCTTATCCCAGGTTAAACAGAGCAAACCCACGGCTCTCACCGGAGAACAGGTGAAATCCAGGAGGAATTTCTTCATGGAAGGGGCTGCCCAGGGAGGTGATGGAATCCCCACCCCTGGAGGGGGTGTGTGGAGGTGGCACTGGGGGACATGGGGCAGTGGTGGCCTTGGGGGAACAACTGGACCCGATGGTCTCTGAGGGATTTTCCAACCCAAACAATTCCATGATTGCCTCTCTTCTCTCACCCACCTGTCTCATGTCTGCTTTTTCTCTTTTTGTTTTTCTCTGAAGCAGAGGAAGAAGACGAAGAAGAAACAGAGAAGCTGCAGAATGGGAAGGACCGAGGTGAGGGGACAAACCTGTGTGAGAGCTCTGCAGCGTTTTCTGACTCACTCCTCTCTGGCTTCCCTGGCTCCCCTTGGAGCCCCACCAGGGCCTCTGGGTGCAGGTGCATGGGACTGGATCAGGTGGATGGGACTGGATCAGGTGGATGGGACTGGATCAGGTGGTTCTGGAACAGGTGGATGGCTCTGGGTACAAGTGGATGGGACTGGAACAGGTGGATGGGACTAGAACAGGTGGCTCTGGTGCAGGTGGATGACTCTGGATCAGGTAGATGGCTCTGGATCAGGTGGCTCTGGTACAGGTGGATCACTCTGGGTCAGGTGGATCACTCTGGGTCAGGTGGATCACTCTGGTGCAGCAGCCCCCTGGCTGGTGCTGTGGCTGTGCCCTGGCACACGTCACCTGCCAGCCCCAGTCACTGTCCCCAACACCTGCCACGGGCTGATGTCACAGCCCTGCCCTGTGCTCGGCTTGCAGGGATGTTTTTGTTCCAGCAAAGGTCACACGGAAATGTGTGAGAGGAGGAGGAGCTGCTCCAGGTGCTGAGAGAAATCCAGCTGGGAGGGGAGGAGCAGACAGAGCCCAGAGTGAGGCAGTGACCAGGGAAGTCCCTGAGCTGAGGGACTGCCACCTGCTCAGCCTTGGCTGGACAAGTGTCCCCGTGCCCATGGGATCCATGGTGACCTTGGCTGGACAAGTGTCCCCGTGCCCATGGGATCCCACACGGGCAGTGCCATCAGTGTCACAGGAGGTCCCTTTCCTCCCCTCTGTGCTGCCCATCCCCTGGCACATCCCCCTGGAGTTATCCCAGCGCTCCTGGTGGCCTCAGGATTTCCAGGCACGGGAGCAGGGCAGTGTCAGGAGGGAATGCCAGGATCTGCTCCTCCCAGCCCCTGCCAGGGACAGGACCTCACTCGGGGCTCTCCTGGCTCCTGCTTTGGATGTTTCAAAGCCCAACACGAGGAGCAGCCTTGGCCGGGTGTGAATCAGCCCCGGCATTTGTCTCGCTGGAGCCAAACCCAATTCCAGCATCAACAAACCAGGACTTTGGAGCCTGCTTTTGTTACACACACACATTTCCTGCTGGCTCAGCTGCTGCAGTGTTTCTCCCAGAAAGAAGAGCTCGTTTTCCTGACTTTCCCCATCCCCTGACTCCTGCAGAGCACGCAGGTGTTTGCTTTGCCCAGCAGCGTTTGAAGGTGTGGGGAGGAGCACGGGAGCTTCGGTTTTGGCTGGAACAGGAGTTTTCAGAAAATTGCCTCAGCTCCAAGTCACAGGACCCTCTTTGCCCCAGAACATTCCTCATCACTGGAATATTTGAGATGCTTACCAGATGACCCACGTGGCTTTTTCCAAATATGCGTTGTGGCTCTCATGGGAAGCAGGGGAAGGGGGACTCTGGATATGATGTACGGGAGCAGGGATGGAGCACAAACCCTGCCCGTTACTCAGCACAGCAGCACGGAGCTGGGAGGGGACGGCCCAGACGTGTCCAAGAGCAGAGCTGGGTCCAAGAGCCTCCGTGTGGAATGTAAATATGATCCCTGCCAGGGAAAAAGAGGTTTCTTACGGTCCCAGAGAGGGTGAGGTAAACGTCTGGCAGGGAAATCGAGGAATGATCAATATGGAAGTGCAGCCCTCCAGTGAGAGCTGGGGGAGCTGCCCGTGGGAGGGCATGGGGACATCAGGGATGGGTGACACCAAACCCGGGGGACCTGCAGGGAGTGCATGGATACTCCAGGTGTGAGGGGCTCACCCAGGGTACCTGCAGGGAGTGTGCCTGGGATGCAATCCCTGTGTGCCAGGGAAATCCTGCAACCCCTGTGTGCCAGGGAAATCCTGCAATCCCTGTGTGCCAGGGAAATCCTGCTGCTTCCCCCCAGGCACCACGTTCCTCTTGGTGACCCCGGGACATGAACCCAGGGCGGTGTCACCTGAGACTCACCACGTCCTTGTCCCTTCCTGCGCTGACCATTTGGATTTTATAACCTTGAAACCACTGGAAGAGGGACTGAAGACCTGGGTTCTGCTCAAACTGGTGGAAATGCAGAGTTTTCTGATCCATTTCCTGGACAAAAATACCCAGTTTGAACTGGGATTCCAGCACAGGGTGCCCAGAGCAGCTGTGGCTGCCCCTGGATCCCTGGCAGTGCCCAAGGCCAGGCTGGACATTCCTGGCACACTGGGAGGTGTCCCTGCCATGGCAGGGGTGGCACTGGGGGGGATTTGGGTCCCTCCCACCCAACCCACTCTGGCATTCCATGGAATGCAGCTGCCTGTCCTCATCCTAACCCCGAGGATGGTCCTGGCAGGTTTGGGGTGACTGGGAGTGGTGGCTGCGCCCCTGGCACCTCACCAGGCTGGAGAAATGCCCCGTGAGAACCTCGAGCAGCTCAGCAAGGACAGGGACAAGCCCTGGGAGCACAGGACAGGCTGGGGGCCACCCCCACCCGGCCTGGCAGGGCCAGCTGGCACTGGGGACAGCGAGGGGACAGCACCGTGTGAGGGTCAGGGGTGCCTGGGCTGGCACAGGGAGGGCACTGTCCTGCCCCTCTGCCTGGCACCAGCCGAGCTCCCAGGGACAGGGAGGGGCCGTGGCTGTGACAGGGGTGACACTCGGGAAGGCTGAGGGGATCAAAGCAATGTGAGCAATTGAGGGACTCGGGGAAACTGAGGCAGGGTCCTCAGGGACAACACAAGGGACAGCAGAATAAAGGAAATTCTCCTTGCACATCAAAAAGACTTTTCTGCCCCAAGGCTGGTCAAGCACAGGTTGACCCGAGGGCCTGTGGGATGTCCCCTGGAGACCCTCAGGGCTCACAGGGAAGCTCCTGAGCAGCCTGTGGGGCTGGCCCTGCCCTGAGAGCCTGCTCTGGGCAACCCCAGCCCAGCCAAGCCGGGATTCCTGGGCCTTGGGGATGCAGGGAGCACTTTCCTCCCTGCTGTGCATGTGCAGGGGTGCACCCTGGGGGAGCAGTAAGAGATGGGGGCAGATCCTTTGCTTTGTGGGAAATAAGATGCTGCCCTGGCTAACGTGCTCTTCCCTGTTTGCAGGTTAGGAGGGGCCTCAGGCTGGACAGCAGCTCAGGTAAGGACGGGCAGATCTCCATCTCCAGCAGCTCCTGGGGCTCCTGCTCTTGTCCTGGTTCTGCACCAGGAAGGTCCCACCTGCCCATCCCTCAAAAGGATGTTTTCCACAGAATTATGGAATGGTTTGGGTGGGAAGGGGCCCCAAATCCCCTCCCATCCCACCCCTGCCATGGCAGGGACACCTCCCAGTGTGCCAGGAATGTCCAGCCTGGCCTTGGGCACTGCCAGGGATCCAGGGGCAGCCACAGCTGCTCTGGGCACCCTGTGCCAGCCCTGCCCACCCTGCCAGGGAACAATTCCTGCCCAAGATCCCATCCAGCCCTGCCCTGGGGCACTGGGAGCCATTCCCTGTCTCCTGTCCCTCCATCCTTGTCCCCAGTCCCTCTCCAGCTCTCCTGGAGCCCCTTCAGGCCCTGCCAGGGGCTCTGAGCTCTCCCCAGAGTGGGAGAACACCAGAAAACACCTTCAGCTCTCCCAGCCTTATCTCCCATTTTATTGTCACTTCTGTAAGAGAGGCCTCAGCCAGGAAACAGGAGCCCGTGGTGATGGACACTGCCCAGACAAACCAAAAATACAATGTCTGCCCCCCAAAAAGGCAGGGCTCTAAGGTGATAACGAGGCACAACAGATGGGCAGACAAACAGGAGGGGCTGAGAGCAGGAGGGGCAGAGCTGGAGCCTGGGGAGTCTCCAGGGAGATCCTGATCCCCCACCTGAAGAGCTGTGAGGAGGAGGAGGAGGAGCTGCTCGGGTTTCCACACGCCCTGGAAGTTTGCCATCATGGCCATCACTCCCCACTGCCGTGGCAGGAAAACCTCCCATGGAGGCACCCAGCCCGGGCCTCCAGGGGATGGGGACAGGAGGGACCTTCCTGTGGGAGCTCTCCCCTCTCACTGCAGCCTGGGGATTGCAGGGACCTGGCAGGAGAAAGGCTCACCTGTAACTGAGCCCCAGCCCAAGGCATGGGCCAGGAGAATCCAAACCACGATTCTGTGGGATAAACCCAGCCCCAGCTCCCACCACTGGCAGGCCACTGGCAAAGGAGAAAAAAGGAGATTTGCCTTTCCCACCTCCCAGCAGCGCAAGGGGAGAACCCCAGAGGGGCTCAGGAGCCTTTCTGACAGTTTTGACATTAGAAATTCAAGTCCTGCCTCATCTGGGAAACAATCTGGTAACTCAAGAAGGAGTGAAATTGCAGCATTAGAGAGGGAGCCAGCAGGGTGGTGCCACGGAGTGTGGCTTTTCCTCTCATCCCTGAAACCCCCATGGCTCTGGGGAGAGGGATGTGTGTCCCCCTGCCACCCCTCACTGCACAGGAGCAGCCCCAGTTTCCCTCCTGGAGCCCAGTGGGGATCAAACACCAGCCCCATTCAATTAGAGACCACTGAGGAAATGAGAGAGAGGGAGCAGTCAGGCTTCTTGATCCTACAGAAAGAATGGGAAACGACAGAAGAAAAGCAGAAATAATCCTTTACACTGCGGTGGCTCTTCCAGCAGGGAGAATTTCCTCATGGGAAGGGTGCTCAGGCCTTGGCAGGGGCTGCCCAGGGAGGGTTGGAGTCCCTGGAGGTGTCACCTGGAGGTGGCACTCAGAGCTCTGGGCTGGGACTTGGTGACCTCGGAGGATTTTGCAGCCTCAGAGATTCTGGGAATCCTCAAGTTCCTCCCAGTCCCATGAGTGGTGCCAGGAGTGGGGGGTGCCCCTGAGCCTTGTGGTGTCCAGCCAAGCCAGGCCAGTGGCTCTGGCCACCCTTCAGCTCCAGCTGCCCACAGTGATGGGAGAGCTGGGCTGCACCATTGGGGCTTTCAGTCAGCACATCCTGCTGGGGGGAAAAATCCTGTTGGGGGGCAAAACCCCAGCCCCGAGTTCACCTTGCCTGGCAGAGTCACTCTGGGGACCTGCCCTGGCCTCAGGGGCTCCCTGGGGACCGAGGGGAGGAGTTTTGGGGTCACCAGGACACTCGGGTCTGGCCTGAGCTGGCCAGGGGTGGCCCCAGGGGCTCACAGAGTCATGGAGTCACCAAGGCTGGAAAAGCTCCATGAGCCCATGGAGCCCAACTGCCACATGTCCCCAAGTGCCACATCCCCAGGGCTTTAAATCCCTCCAGGGATGGGCACTGCAAAGCTCCCTGGGCAGCTGTGCCAGAGCTGAACAACCTTTCCAGGCAGGAATTGTTCCCAATATCCAAGCTGAGCCCTCCTGGCCCAGCCTGAGGCCATTTGCCCTTGTCCTGTCCCTGTTCCCCCCCTGGCTGTCCCCTGCTGTCAGGGAGTTGTGCAGAGCCACAAGGTCCCCCCTGAGCCTCCTTTTCTCCAGGCTGAGCCCCTTTCCCAGCTCCCTCAGCCTCTCCTGGGGCTCCAGCCCCTGCCCAGCTCCCAGCACTGGTGGTTCTGGGGCCAGGCAGGATTTCTGTGGGATCTCTGCAGGATTTCTGTGGGTCCTGACAGGTTCCTGGTGCTGCAGGCTCGGAGGTTGTGCTTGCCATCGAGGGACGTCTCCCCCCTTCGGAAGAGGCAGTTCCAGCCCATCCCTCACCATCGTGAACTGTGACCGATCTCCACCTCCTGCTGCACCTGAGAGCTCCCCTGGACACCGCGGTGCCCCCAGGCCATTGCATGTCCCCTCGGTGTGTTCCCTGCCGTGACCAGACCTGTCCCACCCGGCTCAGCGAGCCACGGGAGGCTCAAAAAGCATCGAAACAAAGCTGACAGGACACTGCTGGTGGCTGCTCCCGCTCCGTGCTGCTCCATTCCAGTCTCCTCCCAACAGTGCCACTGTCACACCCCACGCCGGTCACTGCTCCTGGCTTCTGTCCTCCCTGTGCATGGAACAAGGGGGTGCAGGCCCTCCCAGGGTCCCCCCTGCACGGCACCAAGGGGATTCAGCTTTAAAATCCCACCTGGAGTCAGCTGGGAGCTCCCGTCCCCCCCGCTGGGCTGCAGGTGACAGGGCCACCAAGCTCCGGTGTTCCCAGCCCTGGGAACGTTCCCATCCCAAGCAGGGAATTGAACTGAGGGAGGAGCTGGCTCAGTGTTGGTGGGAACTGGGGGGATCAGGGGCAGGGGATGGCAGCTCCCCCTGACCCGCGCTGGGCTCCATCCCCACCCCAGAGCCACAGTCCCAGCCAGGGGTGGCTCCAGCGCGTTCCTCCCGTGCTGCCTGGCAAAGCGGTTTGAGTGGAAGGGCCCTGATGGTCTATAAATGATCTGTACATGATCTGTACATGATCTGTACATGAGCTATCTGTACATGTTTGTGGAGGGTGATGGATGAAGGGAGCAGAAACCCTGCGAGCACCCCCAGCTCTGCCCCCTCCCCACGCCCACCCGGCCCCGGGACAGGGACAATAAACACCCTGGTGGCCACAATAAACACCCTGGTGGCCACAGGCTCGGCTCATGGAAATGTGGGGAACGAGGAGAGGAGGGGAGGGGAGCCACGAGAACCTGGAGAGAGGCAGCAGCTTCAGCTGGGAGAGGGGGGACAGGGATGGGGACAGGGAGGGAAATGGGGATGGCAGCGAGGACAGGGATGGGGAGAGAGATGGGGATGGGAATGGAGACAAGGAGAGGGATGGAGAGAGGGATGGGGAGGGGGACAAGGATGGGGAGGGGAGATGAGGACCAGGACAGAGATAAGGACAACCTGATGTGGCTTTTCAGCTGAATTTGCTGCATTCAGGCGTGCAGCATCTTCGGCTGTGTCGTGGCTCCAACCACGGAAAATGGGGACGATTTCCTGATGGCCCAGTGGGGGTGGTGGTGGCCACCAGGAGCTGGGGGTGTCACAGCTGCACAGGGGTCGGGGTCTTTCCTCCCCAGGCAGAGCTGAGGCAAGAGGCTGGGGGCGCCCACCCGAGCCCTGCTGGGGTCAGAGCTGGTGGCACTGCCAGGGCAGGGACGGTGGCACAGCAGGGCTGGGGCACCTGGGCTCTGTGCAGAAAAGCTGGGATCCGTCACTTGGGGGTGAGGGGAAGGATGGGAAGGATGGTGCGGGGCCTCCCCAGCACCCCCGGACACCGAGGAGATTGGGGTGCCCAGGGAAGGCTGTGGTGATGTGTCACCCAAGGGTGTCACTTAGGGAGGTAATTAACCCCTTTTTAATTGCTTCCTGGGCTGAACACAGATTGGGGCAAAGCCATGGGGCTCACGGCAGCTGCACCCTCCGGATCGGGATTGCCATTTGCAATTCCCTGGGGCAAAACTAACCCGAAGGAAAACGCACCTAAAGGCATTTCCCCATGGGCAGCCCCGGGGATGCCCGGCCAGGCCCGGGGTTGATGCCAGGAGTGGCACATCCCGATTGCCACGGGGCGAGGAATGGGCTGGGAGCCACCCACAGCGACTGCTCTGCGGGTGACACGCACAAGGACAGGGGTGGCCGCGGGGGCCACACCAAGCTCTGCTGCCATTCCCTGTTCCTGCAGGCACAGGGGAGTGCGGCAGCGAGCGGGATCGGCCCTGGGAACGGGACGGGATTGTCCACGGGAGCAGGAATGTTCCCCGGAGCGGGACAGGATTGTCCCCATTGCGGGACTGTCCCCCAGAGCAGGGCAGGATTGTCCCCATTGCGGGACTGTCCCCCAGAGCAGGGCAGGATTGTCCCCATTGCGGGACTGTCCCCATTGCAGGACTGTCCCCGGGAGCGGCTGGCGAGGCGGTGCTGCAGCCGATGCCGTAAGCTCGGGGAACGTTTCCAGCAGCAGCCTGTGAGCAGGGAGACATGTTCTGTCATCCGCCAAATATTTAATAAATCCATCTCCTCTCTGCAGGGTGTCTTGTCCCTTCGCCATGTGGAAAAGGCAGGGATTTCATGAAAAAAGGGTTTTCCTGGGAAGCGGCTGCTGGGAGGCGGGAGCAGCTGCGGGCGCTGCGCCCTGGGGCCGCGGCAGAGCCGGAGATCCCCGCATTGGTCATGGCCGCGGTCAGCGGAGCGCACAGAGCCGCCAGTGTTCGGCCCCGGCACAGCTGCACCGCACAGCCCGCACATCTGGCGGGGGACAGCGGGCTCGGGGGCATCAAGGCTGCGACAGCCACGGCAGAACCGCCGGTCCCTGCCGGGGACTCCCTGGGCTCGGTGGCACCGCTGCTGCCCCGGACACGGAGCCGCTGCTGGCGGGGCCTCACCGGTCCCGGTCCCGGCTGCAGGCGGGTCAGAACCGGCAGCGGCTCCCCGCGGGATGCCGGACACCCCGACCCTCCCACCCCGCTCCCACCATCCCGGCAGAAACCTCATCCCTGGGAATCCGCGGGGTGCCGGGCACAGGCGCGTCCTCTCCGCTCCCCAGCCCCAGTCTGGCACCGCACTGCGCCCTTCCCGGCGCTCATTTGTGTTTTGGGTTAGAAATCCTGGTGGGAAAGATTCAGACCCTCCCCGGAGCAGCTTCGTGCTCCTCCACCCGGCATGAGGAGAGTGGAAGCGTGGAAAGCCGGGAATTGCAGGGACACCAAGTGCCCGTGGGACACGGGGACACCGGCACCCCTGGGACACCGGCACCCTGCCACGGCCCTGCCCAGCCGTGCCCACCCCTCCAGCACCGCGCTGGGTGCCGCCTACCCTGTCCCATCTGTGCCCACCCGGGTCCCTGCCCTTCCCATCTGTGCCCACCCGGGTCCCTGCCCCGCGCAGCCCGTCCAACCCGCAACCCCTGCCAGGCTCCGTCTGGGGTGGCTGGTGGGGCCTGGGTGGCCACAACCCCAGCCCGGGGCCCCCTCCCACGGTGAGGGTCCCCCACCCTCCTGTCCCCTCCCACGGGTCCAACACGTCCCTATCCCTGCCCCGCTGCTCATCCCACAGGCCGTAACCCTTTCACACCTCATTAGAGCCGTAATTAATCCCGATTATTCCCAGCTGCCGGGGGAGGGGCAGTTCCCGCTCAGAATGCGTGGGCTCAGCCCCACGAAGACCCCAGGAACCCCATGGAGACCCCAGGATCTCAGTGCACCCCAAGGAGACCGCAGGAACTCCGCAGAGTCCCTAAAAACCCCAAAGTGCCCCATAGAGAGCCCAAGAAGCTCATGCACCCCAAACCACAGGGACCCCAAACACCTCGAGGAGACCCCAGGATCTCTGTGCACCCCACGGCGTCCTCAGGGACCCCCTGTACCCCAGGACCCCCGCTGGTCTGGGGAGAAGCCCCAGCTGGCCCCGTGTCCGTGCGGCTCCAACACCCGCGGCCAGCCCCGGCCTGGGGACACGGCTGGGGACACGAGGTGTCCCCTCACACACGGCCGAGGGCTCGGGGATCCCGGGGCTGCTTCTGTCCCGGCTCAATCCCGTTATTATTACTGACCCCCGTGCCCTTCATCCCAGCCCTCCTCCTCCTCCTGCCCCACCGAGCGGGGCCAGCAGTGGCACACACGACACAGGGCAGGAAGCCACGGATGTGGCCGCAGGTGCCGGGAGCCCCAAGCTGTGCCCCCCACACCCCGGGGCCCTGGGCCCGCACACACAGCTCCATGTGACACACGCTGTGTCCCCAGGGACACCCCCAGTGTTCCCAGTGCCACCAGCACCGCCACAGCCCCGCGCCTGCTGCGTGCCAGGGGTGCCACAAGCGCCAGTGGCACCTGGGGAGGTGGCACCAGGAGCATGGCCCTTCCTGCAGCCTCCTCCGCAGGCACGGTGGGTGAGGGTCCCGGGGGTCCTGGGGGCTCGGGGGGCCCGGGGGGCTCGGAGGGCTCGGGGGACTCGGGGTCACCGCGGTCCCCGTGGCCGAGCGATGCTGGCGCTGCCATTTGTGCTCGTGCAGGAATTCGGCGGCGGTTGCATAACGAGGAGCCCTCGGAGCTGGAAACGAGGTCAGGCGGGAGCGGGGGGAGCGGGGACAGCGGGGACAGCGGGGACAGCGGGGACACGCCGCAGCTGCTCACCCTCCCCGGGCTGAGGCAGCGGGAGCCACACGCCGGGAATGGCACCGGGACACGGCACGGCGACCTTGCCCAGCAGTGGCAGTGCCAGGAGGTCCCTCGGCCACCGTGCCACCACATCTGTGTCTGTCGGGATCCCTCTGGCCACGGGACCATCACGCTTGTGTCCCTTGGGTCACTTGAGCCATGGTGGCGCCATGCCTGGGTCCCTTGGGGTCCCTCACATCATGGTGCCATCACACCTATGTCCCTGTGAGGTCCCTCAGGCCGTGGTGCCATCACAGTTGCATCCCTCGGGGTCACCATCCCTTGGCCACCACCGCTGCCACCCTCATTGCCCCGTGTCACCTCTCAGCAGCGCTGGCAGCATGCCATGTCCCCATGCCCCGTGTCCCCAGGGCCTGGCAGAGGTGGCCGGGGAGGGTCACCCCACCCCTGCACAGCAATGCCACCCTGGCACACTGTGACACGGCCCAGCATGTGACACCGCCTGTCCCCGGAGCTCCCCGGCCTGAGGGACTGGCCCGTGTCACCAGCACCGGCTTAATTTGGTGCCCGCCCTCCAGGCGAGATTAATTAATCCGATCCCCGCCCCGAGGGACCCGCCTGGGCTCTGGCAGCTGTCACCGTGTCACCGTGTCGCGGGGCCGCTGCTCCTCGGTGACGAGGCTGAGCTGCCGGGGGCTCCCAGCGTGGGGAGACCCCAGGGACCCCCAGCCCTGCCTGGGGTGCATCGATTTCAGGGGACACCTCCTGCCCTGGGACACGGTGACAGGGCTGAAAAAGCCAAACCCTGAGGCTGATCTGCTCAGGGGCCACGGAGATTTCTCTGGGCACAGCCCCGGCCATGGGGCTCCTCAGCCTCGCAGGATTCTTTGGGGATGGAGAGGATGGAAGCTGCCAGCCCCCATGGAGCAGGACGGCTGTGCAGGAGCATGGGGACCCCTCGACCTGGTGTGGGAGATGGAGGGCTCCATGGCCATCCTCCTCCTCCTCCTCTGCCCAGCCCAGCCCAGCCGAGCGTGGGGCTGTTCCCCAGCACGGGATCTGGGGGATAAATCCCAATCCCAGCCCATCACAACCCTACCCATGGGATCTGGGGGTAAATCCCAGTCCCAGGCCCCCAGGACCCTGCCCGTAGGATTTGGGGGTTTAATCTCAGCCCAGCAGGACCCTGCCTGTATGATTTGGGGGACCAGTCCCAGTCCTCTGCTCTGGTCCAGGGGCAGCTGCCCCTTTCCAGCCAGGATCCCCAGCACCCACAGGTGGTTGCTGCAGGACACCTATGGGAGTGAGCAGGGCCTAGCCCACCAGGGACCACGCCATTAATTAGCATTGTTAATTAATGCGTTATTTTGCAGTGCCCCCCTGTGCACCAGGAGCCTTCCAGCACTGAGGGTGAGGGGACCTCTGCCCCTCCTGGGGCTGCAATCCTGGTACAGCCAGGCAGGAATGGGGCTGCCAAAGCCCAGCCAGGCGGTGCTGGGCCTTTCCATGCCCGTGCCAGGGTCTGTGGCACAACCTCGGGACCCTAGACAGTGCCCAGGTGGTGCTGGATGCTCCAAGGGTCCCCCCAAAGTCACCCCATCCCCAGCACCTGCCAGTGCCAGCCATGGCCTAGATCAAGCCCAGGTTTTTGTGGACTGAAAGCAACACCTATGCCAGGTGTGGGAGCAGCAGTGTGAGCTCCTCAGGGCCCCCCCAGCCCCTCTGGAGTCTCCAATGCCCCCCAAGTCCAGCCCTGCCCCCCCAGCTCCCTGCACTTCCGAGCACCCAGTGTTTTGTCCTGGCAGTGCCCGGCTCTCCAAGCCCAGCCCAGCTCCCACTGCTCCCCCAGACCCCACCAGAGCCGTCAGGGGGAATCACAAATCCCCTTCCCCAAAGACCCTCCCATTTCCCAAGGCCTCGGATGCCCCTGTGGATCTCTGCCCGCTGCCATGTCCTGGCTGTCCGTGCCCACCCCCCAGCTCTGGGCTGGGGCTGCCAGGCCAGCGCCCCACAGGGATGGCATCAGGGACACCTGGTCCCCCCTCAGCCCCAGGGAGGACTCAGGGACGGCCCTGGCATGGGGTGACCCCCGGAGATGTCCTGTCAGTGTCCAAGGGTCGTGCTGGCACCAGGGGAACACGGCTGGCATGAGTGTGGGGTGAAGGGATGGGGCAAGAAGGGACGGCTTGGCTTGGCTTGGCTTGGCTTGGCTTGGCTTGGCTTGGCACGGCCTGGCTCAGCATGCCCTGGTACTGCACAGCTCTTGACCACACTTGGCCTGGCCTGGCCTGGCACAGCACAGCTTGGCAAGGGTTGGCACATCTTGGCATGACCCTGGACAGCCCCTGAGTGCACTTGGCTTGGTCTGGTACGGTCTGGCTTGGCACGGTACAGCTTGGCTTGGCTTGGCTTGGCTCAGACCAGCCTGCCCTGGCTTGGCATGGCACAGCTTGGCACAGCACAGCATGGCTTGGCTGGACACTGTGCAGGCCTTGACTGTGCTTGGCTTGCCTTGGCCTGGCCTGGCTTGGTCTTAGCATGGCAGAGCTTGGCAGGGCTTGGCACGGCATGGTTTGGCATGGCATGACACTGCACAGCTTTTTACTATGCCTGGCTTGGCTTGGACCAGCCTGGCCTGGCCTAGCCTGGCACAGCTCAGCTTGGCACAGTGTGGCTTGACACGGGCCACACTTGGCTTGGCCTGGCCTGGCTTGGCACAGCACGGAATGCCTTGGCACGGCTTGGCACAGCAAGGCTCAGTTTGGCACGGCAGGGTTTGGGATGGCACGCCATGTGTTGGCATCGAGCTCTGACTCTGTCCCGGTGCAGGAGCTCAGCTCCGTGCCGAGCTGTGCCGAGCCATGCCAGTGCCTGTGCCGAGCCGTGCCGTGCCGAACCGGCGGTGCCGAGCCGAGCCGAGCCGAGCCCGCGGTGCCGGTGCGCGCTGCCGGCGGGCTCTAGGACCGCGCGGCGGGCTCGGTGCTGCAGTGGAGGCGGCGGCGCTGCGGGAGGAGGCCTGGCCGGGCAGCGCAGCGGCGGCGGCGGCTCGGCGGGGCTCGGCACGGCTCGGCACGGCTCGGCGGGGCTCTGCGCCGGGCCCGCACCGGCCCAGGTAACCGGGACAGCGGGACACCGGCACCGCCGGGACACCGGGACCGGCACCCCCGGCCTGGCTCGGGCGCGCTCGACTCCGGTCGGGCACACTCGCGTCCGCTCGGCTCCGTTCGGTTCAGTTCGGCTGCTGCGTTCGGCGGGGTTCGGCTCCGTTCGGTTCGGTTCAGCTCCGTTCGGTTCGGTTCGGGTGGTACCTTCGGAAGGGCTCGGGCCCATCCGGAGGGGGTTCGGGTTCCTCCGCAGGGATTCGGGTCCCTGCGGCGGAGGTTCGGGTCCCTACGGCCGAGGTTCGGGTCCCTCCGGCGGACTTCGGCTCCCTCCGGCGGGGTTCGGCGGGGCTCGGCCCGGGCCGGCGCGGCCCCGGTGTCTCCGCCGTCCCGGGCCCGCGGCAGGAAAACACGGCAGGGCCGGGCCCGCCGGGCCCCCCCGGCCCCGCGCCGCCCCCGCCCGACCCGGCCCCGCTCGGCCCGGCCGTGCGGGCGGCGGTGGCTGCGCGGCCCGGCCGGCCCGGCCCCCGCGGCGCCGCCGTGTCCTTGAGCGCGGCGCGGGCGGCTGAAGGGCAGCGGGGCCCGGTGGCACCGCCGGGTGTCCCCCCGGTCCCCTCCCGGCCCGCGGTGTCACCGCCGTGTTCCCCCCCGGGGGGACGCGGGGCCGCGGCCGCCCCTGCCCTGCCCGCGGCGGGGCCGCCCGGGGGAGCGGCCGGGCCTGCCCTGCCCAAACTTCGGGGCTTTTGCACCAAAAATCCCCCCCGGGGGAGGCGAAGCGCGGCGGGGCCGGGCGGAGGGGGCGGCGGGGCCGGGGCCTGGCGGGGACTGCCCGTCCCGCCTGCCGCTTCCCGCTCCTCATCCCCAGCTGGGCCACGGCTTGTTCTCCCTTCCCTCTCACTGTCCACTTCCTCATCATTTCCCCCTTCCTGCTCATTTTCCCCTTCCTCTTCCTTCCCTTTCCCTCTCACTTCCCCCTTCCTGCTCACTTCCCGCTACCCTCTCACTCCCCTGCCCCTCTGGCTTCGTATCTCGCTCTTCCTTCCACCCTTCTCCATCATTTCCCTTTCCTTTTTGCTTTCCCCTTCCTTCTTGCTTCTCCCCCTTCCCGCTCACTTCCCCCTTCCCACTGGCTTCCCACTTCCGATCCACTTCCCCCTGCTGTCTCCCTTCCCCCTCACTTCCCCTTTCCCCTCCCTTCTCCTTCCCCCTCGCTCCCCTTTCCCTCCCACTGCTGTTTCCTCCCCCCCGCTTTCCGGGGTGTTTCGCCTGCGCAAACCTGTGGGCAAATGAGATTTTCCTCCTCGCTCAGTTCCTCTTTCTGTGTTTCTGCCCTTTGTGTGACGTCGTCGGTGTCACCGCGGGACCAGCCGAAGTTCCGTGCTGGCTGCCACACCGGGCACCCACATCCTGTGGTGGCACTGACTCCCCGGAGACCCCCGGGAGCCCCGGTGCCGGCGGAGCGAGGGACCCGGCCCTGCTGCTCCGAGCTGCCAGCTCTGGCCCCTCGTGCTGAGTCAGCTCCAAACTTCCCAGCGGAGCCGCTCCTGTGGCACCGAGTGGCTCCTGTGGCACCGAGCGGCTCCTGTGGCACCGAGCGGCTCCTGTGGCACCGAGCGGCCCCTGTGGCACCGAGCGGCCCCTGTGGCACAGAGCAGCTCCTGTGGCACTGAGTGGTTCCTGTGGCACAGAGCAGCTCCTGTGGCACAGAGCAGCTCCTGTGGCACAGAGCAGCTCCTGTGGCACTGAGTGGTTCCTGTGGCACAGAGCAGCTCCTGTGGCACCGAGTGGCTCCTGTGGCACAGAGCAGCTCCTGTGGCACCGAGCAGCTCCTGTGGCACCGAGCGGCCCCTGTGGCACCGAGTGGTTCCTGTGGCACCGAGTGGCTCCTGTGGCACCGAGCGGCTCCTGTGGCACAGAGCAGCTCCTGTGGCACACCACTCCCTCAAGGAACGGCGCGGTGCCGGTGCCCGCTGGTGAGGCCACAGGCCCGGTGTGTCCCGGTGTCCCCTGATGACCCTGACTGGCCGTGCCCCTGAAATCCAGTGGCAGCCACCGCTGTGTCCCAAGAGCTCTGTGCCGTGCCACACCACTCTGTGCCGTGTCACACCGTGCCACACCGTGCTGTGTCACACCGTGCCACACCGTGCCGTACCACACCGTGTCACACTGCACCGTGTCACACTGCGCTGTGCCACACTGTACCGTGTCACACCGTGTCACACTGTGCCGTGTCACACCGTGTCACACTGTGCTGTGTCACACCGTGTCACACTGTGCCATGCCACACCGTGCTGTGCCACACTGTGCCGTGTCACACCGTGTCACACTGTGCCGTGTCACACCGTGCTGTGCCACACTGTGCTGTGTCACACCGTGTCACACTGTGCTGTGTCACACCGTGTCACACTGTGCCATGCCACACCGTGGTTTGTCACACTGTGCCGTGTCACACCGTGTCACACCGTGCCACAGCGCACCGGCCGCTCACAGGCCCTCGGGCAGTGGTTTCCGTGCAGGCAGTTCCACTTTGGCACATCCCTGCCCCACGCCTTCCCAGGCCGTGCCCCGGCGAGGCGCGGTGCCCCGAGGGGAGCGCGTTGGGCTGGCAGGTGCTGCGGGCGTGTGCCGGGGCCGTGCGTGTGCCAGGTGGGGTTTGGTTTGGGCTCCGGGCCCCGCTGGCCTCCAGGCCGCGGCCGGGTTTGGTTTGGGCTCCCGGCGCGGGAGGAACCTGCGGCAGGCTCTGCTCACCTGGCAGCCAGGCCCGGCTGCCATCCCGCTTCCCCGCCGCGGGGCTCGGCACGTGCCGGCGGTGTTGGGCCCGTTCCCGCGGTTAACCGCCGTTCCCAGCTCACAGCCCAGCCCAATCCTGCTTTGGATCGCTCCTGCTCGGCTCCCAGCCCCGCTCCCACCAGCCCCAGCTTCCCCGTGGGGCTCGGGGCTCTGCTCACTGGGATCAGATCATCTCCCGGAGTTTTGTCCCCAGTAACCGAGCGTGTGGAGCTCCTGGGTGCTCCCGGTGAGACATTCCCAGTGCTCCCGGTGAGACATTCCCAGTGCTCCTGGTGAGACATTCCCAGTGCTCCTGGTGAGACGTTCCCGGTGCTCCAGCAGCCCCTTCACTGTCCTGCTGCTCTATCCACACTGTCCCACTGCAGAGCTGCACCACAGCCCAGAGCTGGAGAATCACAGACATGTCACTGTCCCTTCCCATTATCCCATCCCATTATCCTATCCCTGTATCCCATCCCTGTATCCCATCCCTGTATCCCATCCCATCCCATCCCTGTATCCCATCCCTGTATCCCATCCCTGTATCCCATCCCATTATCCCATCCCTGTACCCCATCCCTGTATCCCATCCCATTATCCCATCCCATTATGCCATCCCTGTATCCCATCCCTGTGTCCCATCCCATGGGCAGTTTGGCATTCCCCTGGTCCTGCTCTGGCAGACCTGGCTGTGGGGCTGGAGCTGGTGCCTGGGTTTGGCTGTGGGGTGGAGCAGGCCAAGGCTCTGTGTTGGTCCCCAGGGTGCCATGGGGGGCTGTGTATTGTTCATGGGTGCCAGGCTTTGCTCCTTGGGATGCTGTGGGGTGCTGTGGTGCCCTGGAGGGCAGGAAATCGCTCCCTAGGGTGCCATGGAGTGCTGTGGGGTGCAGTGGTGTGCAGTGCATCACTCTCTGGGGTGCTGTGGGGTGCAGTGAAGCACTCCCTTGGATGCTGTGAGGTGCAGTGAATCATTCCCTGGGGTGCCATGGAGTGCAGTGAATCACTCTCTGGGGTGCCATGGAGTGCAAGGGTGCTGTGGGGTGCAGTGAATCACTCCCCAGTGTACTGTGGGGTGCAGTGAATCACTCCCCGGGGTGCTGTCGAGTGCAGTGATGCCATGGGGTGCAGTGCATCACTCCCCTGGGTCCTGTGGGGTGCAGTGAATCCCTGGAGTGCTGTGGGGTGCAGTGAATCACTCCCTGGGGTGCTGTGGGTGCAGTGAATCACTCCCTGGGGTGCTGTGGGTGCAGTGACTCCATCCTTGGAGTGCACCACGGGGCTGGCTCAGTGCTGCTGACCACCCCAGGGTCCCCCCTCTGGGCCCGGTCTATTTTTAGGATCCCCCCAGCTCTCACCGGCACGTCAGAGTGTGAGTGCCGCCACTTCAGAGTGCCAGCCCCCAGATCCCGGTGGCGGTGGCTCCCGGAGCTGTGGCACGTGTGGCCAGGCGCTCCTCCCGCAGAGGCCAAATATTTCACCCCTAAATTACAACTCCGGAGATGAGGTCAAGGCCACGGTGGTTTCGGCACAACCATCTGTCGGAGGCGAAATTGCGTAGCCCGGGGACGCCCACCGTGTTCCTGGCCCCCCCCCCCCGGCAGCAGCACCCACGCCGAGGGGGGCTCGGGGGGGCCCCCTCGCCGTGAGTCAGGGGTGGGGGGCGCAGAGGGTGGGGGTGACTCACGGCCGCCGCTCCTGTCCCCTCTGAGTCAATCCCGGAGTTGTTCCCTGGTGCTGGGAAGGAGGAGGAGGAGAAGAAGGAGGAGGAGAAGGAG